CAGGTTACAACAGTTCAGCTCCTAAATAATAATATATATATAATACCTGTGTTTTCATTGTGGCAGTGTGGCATCATGTGATACACCTCGATGTCGGCGCATGAGGTTGTCAGCGTTGTCGAGCAGAATTAGAACAATATCAGAACTATTTGCTCGGCCTTCTGAAGAAACGAAAACAGATCTGGACGTTGTCAGCTGCCCGTAATCCAATCCTTACACTTCCTCTTCTGATGCCGATGAGCGTATTTTTGTCTTACGTAATGCATGCTTCAGTAATAAAGGCGAATAAATAACAACAAAACAAAACAAAAACAAAAACAAAAAGGTAACGAAATTTGAAGGCCGCCACATCTGCAGTCACCGGCCTCCTCTAAAGAGATGTGTGAGAAGTTGAGGGTGGAGGTGAACAGAAATGAAGACGCTCTATGGTGATTTAACAGATGTAATTAACGGAGCCTCCTTTCTGTGTTTTGATGTTTTCTCCCGCAGGTGTAATTGAAAAGTTGCACGAAGCAGCGTACAAAAACGCCCTGTCCAACTCCCTGTACTGCCCTGAATACATGGTCGGCCACGTCTCCTCTGAACAGGTATCGATGTGTGTTTTATTCTAGTTTTCTACATTCTGTATGAAAGGAGTCAACGGTTTGGTCGTGAAGGTCATGCTTTAGTTTTTGCTCTTACACACCTCTCCTCCTCCTTATCCTCCCCTCGTAGCTGAAGTCATTTGTTGACGACCATTTCATCGCTGGCAGAATGGCTCTTGTAGGATTAGGTGAGTGTCTACTAGTGATCTTCTCTTTCACCGGGCTTCAGTGCTCCGTTATACTGCAGTTTGTCAGTCCTCTGTAGGCTTATATATGTATGCTTATACTCATCTTAAATGTCATTTGGTTTCTGCCCACACACACAGAGGTCCTAAGTCAGTACTGGTATGTGGAGAATAGGCCGGCAGTAACGCTAATGGTTTTGTTACGTGTGGATATTTTAATGCGATGAGGCTGACTTTGCCTGCAGACAAACGCTGACAAACATGCCTGAATGACAACACATCACGCCCTTATGGAGGTTTCTATTCTGGAAACGTGTGGTATTTTTCACTTCATGAAGGTTCGCAGCTGTATATTAATGTCAGTATTGTCTGATTCCAGGTGTACAGCACTCTGTCCTGAGGCAGGTGGGTGAGGGGCTGCTGAGCGCTCGCAGTGGGGCTGGAGCTCCTGTGGCGAAGGCTGTGTACCGTGGAGGTAAAACCAATGTTTAATAGCGACCTCACGCTCTCTGAGATTCATCACTGCGTTACATTCGCGATGCTATTGTGTGTTTGCGTGCAGGTGAGTTGCGGGTGCAGAACACAGACGACCTGGTCCACACACTGATTGCCAGCGAGGGTTGTGTGACGGGTAGTGCAGAAGCTAATGCCTTCAGCGTGTTGCAAAGGATCCTGGGAGCTGGGCCACATGTAAAGAGGGGCTCCAACATCACCAGCAAACTGAGCCAGGGAATTGCCAAAGCTACCACACAGCCCTTTGATGTAAGTTAAAAAAATAAAGGAAGGAAATAGACTGTTTATTTATTGTAGGAGAGTGTGTTGCATTAAGAGTTTGTCTCCTCATGTCTGACGACCTCTGGCTGTCTTTCAGGCCACAGCCTTCAACGCCTCCTATTCTGACTCCGGCCTGTTTGGCGTCTACACCATCGCACAAGCTGACTCTGCAGGAGAGGTGATTGCCAAATTCACTCTCTCCAAGACAAATGTATCCGTATCTAAAACGCACAAAGATGCCAGAACCGACATTTCACTGAACTTGTGCCTGTTGCCTTCCTCTTGTTTAGGTGATCAAAGCTGCCATTGCTCAAGTGAGCGGTGTGGCTGAGGGAAACATATCAGACGCCGACGTCGCCAGAGCGAAGTAAGTTCACTGAGTAACGTTGGACATGGATGTGAAGCAGTTCTGTGCCACGTAGTAATGTAGGAAGATATATCACAAAACTGTTAAATTGCAGTAGAAATATGTGAAGATTCGAATCAGTGAGATGAAAAATGAATCGTAATACTCTTTTTAAACAGCAGCAGGCGCTGTCTAGCTTTGACATGGCTTGTTGAATGTCCTACGTCACTTGCGTCAGTGTCTGTATTAAGGTGTAAAGACATCAGCTTCATCTTCACAAAGAAACGGAACTATCTATAAAATTATAAAAACTAATATAATATAGATAGATTTTTTTCTGAGAGATAAAATGAATCCCTAGTGCCAGACGCAGAAGGTTCTTGACTCTTCTGTGTTTGACTTCTGTGCTCAGGAACCAGCTGAAAGCAGAGTACCTGATGTCATTGGAGAGCTCTGAGAGCCTGTTAGAGGAGATCGGTGCTCAGGCTCTGACCACTGCAGCGTACCAGCTCCCCGACACCGTTGTCCAGGCTATAGAGGCCGTCACCCAGGACGATGTGGTCAAGGTGAGGTGGTGATACTGTGTGTCAATCTTGAATCGTCACATCAGTCAGAAAGAAAGCTGCACCAATTGAACAATTGATCAAACACTGGCTGTAGATAGGAACTTTTCTGGAAGTTTTACGGCCACCGTAGTTTCTTCTACACACTTCAGAGCCTGTTCTCATTCCCAGGTCATCAAAAACAGACGGGAGTGTGTGTTCAGTTACTTGCGATCTGCAACCGCTAGATGTCACCAAAACCCCCACACTGGTCCTTTAAGAGCCAAATATCCCCCCTCAGGGGTTGATTGACACCTAAACACAACTCAAAAGAGAGGCAGTATGATTGTCAGAAAGTCCAAATGAATGCCAGTGTTGCTCTGTGTGCTGAATGTATAAATATATGGTGAAAATAAGCCAAAGTTGTGCTTACAGCTTGTTCTGCTGCCCCAAAGTGTCAAAAGAATCAATTAATACAGTTTTAAGTGGTTAATACTAGGCTTTTTATTTAACTTTCAACTGAAGATGCTGTGTAACATTTTGTACCTTAGTGTTACTGAGAACCTTTATAGTAAAAGAAGTACTGTGTTCAAACTGAGTCAGTCTGTGCAGAAACATGTAGTTTTGTAAAGTTCATTAATCTTATCATGCAGATTTATTTATTTAGTTGTTTGTATGTTCAAACGTGTACTTGTGTACTTTCTTTAATGACAGTAAATGGAGTTGTAGTTGTAGCCACGTAAGAAACTGAGTAACCTGAGTAAGTTTTAATGGCACATTTGAACAACTCTCTTTTCTTTACAGGCTGCACAGAAATTTGTGGATGGCAAAAAGACCATGGCAACTAGTGGACAACTGAAGAATACACCGTTTGTGGATGAATTATGAAAATAAAGTATAAAAACCGGTGATTTTAACTCGGGCATGCTGTGCCTGGCTGCTCATAAAGGAAAAAAGGACCTCAGAGCCACGGCCTCCTGCAACTATTCATTTGATGTCAACGATCATTTGTAGTCTGTCCTGCAATAAGTGTAAGCACCACAACAGGGAGCCAGAGAATCATGATGGAATGTTTTTTCTTTTGGTTTTTTGTCAATTTAACTGTATATCTATGTAAATTAAAGTAAAGACAGTCATACGAGCTGGTTGTCGCTTGCATTTGTGCCTTGAATGAATCCTGACTGTAGGTGTTAGTGCTGTGTCAGGAGTGTGAGGGTTAAAAAAAGCTCTTAGGGCAGCAGGTATTTTTAGCACTTAGAGAGATATTGTTCCATCCATGAACCAATAGGGGGACCCAAAAACACAAATATGTCCTGTAGAATTTAAAGTTGGGTTTGCCTTTGAAATAAGTATTGAGATCAAGAAAACTGGCTTATATGTTGAAGTACTGGGTTATTGTCACACATTTAAATGTTGCAGCTGGTTGAGGTGCTAATTATAACAATTTTACTATAGTTGAATCATAAAAATATATTTTATATGATCATATTACTTCTATGTCATGTATTAATCTGTGGAGTGGCTTGTTCCTATAGCTGTGAGATGAATACAGTGGAGTAAAAAAAGCACAACGTTTAAAATAGTTTATCCTACATAGATGGAAAAAATGGATGTACAAATACCTTATATACCTACACATATTATTATTAAATTACCCTAAATCACCCCTCCAACCCACCTACTGCCCTCTGAATAATACTACATGATGTCTGTGTCATTTAGTTTGTTATTAATTGATTTAAGGCTGCAACTAACTATTTTTGAATCAATAAAATATCCAGTAGTATTAAATAAATTTTAGAAGCTGTAACAAGTGAACTGTCCTGAATGACTAAGCATCAAATTTGTCTATTGTTTTTTGTCAATTGACTAATGTATTTATCAATGATATTAGCTCCAGTTAATCTAAACACACCTTTACCTAGGTTAGCACATTTTTTCTTTAAATTAGAGGTCTTAAAATGTTAAAACTGCACAAAACATGAATTTATATTGCACTTAAAAAATTAAAATTCACAAAACATCAACCAGTCGTCGGTATTATAATAACAGAAGTGGGGAAACTAATATCCCCGACCCTTAATCAACTAACACAAACGGGGCGACTCAGGACAACATGAACCCCTTTATTTTTTGGTGAAGTATCGCGAGAAGAGAGCAAACCCCCACCACGGGAACGAGAAGACACTGAGCCGTGCGTGTGTGCGTATGTATGTATGTATGTGTGTGTGTGCGTATGCGTGTGCGTGTGCGCGGCGCTGCGTGGGGGTGTTCGTCTGATGTCATTTGGCAGAACGGGAGGCTGAGCTAACGGTAGGCGCACGGGCTGGGAAGCACAACAATAACCGTCCAGATTGGAACGTTCGACGGCTCATTCGAAGTTCAAATAAAGACAAAACGAACAGTCTCGTCACCGAGGTTCAACGAAGAAGAAGAAGACGACGAAGAGGAGGAGGAGGAAGAGGAGGAAGAGGAGGATGTGGTGGAGGTGAAGCTGGCTAGCTAACGGTACCAGATGCTATTCCAGCGGAGAAGGAGAAGAACGGGCTCGAATAAGCGAGAGCGGGTGATGGGTTCTCGGTTCCCCGACGGCTAACTCGCTAGAAAACACACACAAGCGAAGAAGAAGAAGAAGAAGAGGAGGAGGAAGGGGAAGGGTGCTTTGCTTTCCGGGCCTTTTCTTCTCCCTGCCTCCCGCCTTGTGTGAGCATCTGTGTGTCTGAAGATGCCAGCCGGCAAGTCCGGTCTCGGCCCGTCGATGCGAGTCCTGCTGGGCCGCAGCTCGGGCCACGACGAGCCCGAATCTGGGCGCTGAGGTCTAAGCGAAGCATAGGCTCCCTGCGACCGCAGCCGAGTCGCGATGCCCCGCCGCCGCGGGTGACGGCGAGGGGCACACCCAACCCGGTTAGTGGACGCGAAGTGAGCCTTTTGTGTTTGTGTGTTTTTGTTGTTGTTTTTTTAGCACCTGCCGCTGACTAACCCCGGCCCGTTTGAGATGTGATGCGTTTTGTGAGTCTGGACCGCCTCTCCGTTTTGCTTCAGGAGCTAACCGTCGGCTGGCAGCCAATGCCCCAGCGGAACCAGCAGGCAGCCGGGCTCGCTGGTTGAAAGGGGAGCCATGGTTAGACTGATAACCAAGTTTCCCCACCCTGTGTCCTATCAACGCTTTCTCCTGTGTGGTCCACAACTTTTGGACAAACCGACGCGCCTTTTCTTTCCCCCCACCCGTCGAGCCGACCAGCATCAGCCCGGCGTATGGATAAACTGCACGATATTTCAGGGGTGCCCTGTTTCTGGCCAGCGATTATCTTCCGCGCGATAGCCCAGCATGCAAACGCGCAGACCTGGAATTCAACACTGGTGAGATCCAGGCAGGTAAAGTGAAGGGAGGGCCTGTGAGAAAACTGCTTTTTGTGGTGATTTGTTTGTTTTTTTAGGCAGGTTTTCTCTTTACGCAACATGTGTTCACCATCAAGCGAGGAGTGTTTTCCCGTCAGATAATCTGTGTCTCCATTGTGTGTGGGGGTTATTATATTACAGGGCAGGCATCTTTTGTCCTCCCACGGCTTTGTGATTGTGTGCATGTTATGTAGCTTCTTGCTGACTTTCCAAAGACCCTAAAAATCACCAATAATTACACTTTTTAAGCAGATTGCCATCCAGCAAGGATGGAGCTCTGCTGCTTCAGGAACTAGCGACTAATGTTATTTTGGTGTGTGTGTCAAATAAATTAATAGTACATGTCAGATAACGTATAGATTGCACCGTGGTGAGTTCTTGTAAATTGCTTGTTTTGTCCTGATCAGGAGGAAAAAGCATCCACCCATAAAATGAGAGAAAAACATTAAATCCTCACAGTGTGAAGTTGCAAACGCTGAGAATATTTTGTGTTTGGCTTTAATAATGTTGCCTGAAAAGGTTTAGTCAACCTAAACCTCTTGTCATGAAATGTGATTAGGAAACAGTTTTGATACAAGTGATTCGTCAATTTAATGAATTTTAAGTAAAAAAAACGTCAAACCACCCGACTTGGCACCAGCTGCTTAGACGTGAGGATTTGTTTGCTTTTCTTTTGTAAAATTCAATGGTTTTGAGCGCGTTGGTGAAACAAAACCCCAAAGCATTAAATAGATTTTAAATACATTTTTTTGACTACATAGTAGATTAATGGGGAAAAACAGATCAAAAATATGAAGCGCAACCACAACAGTGAAGTGTTACGTGGCCCAGCCCTTTTTTCAAAGTGAGGAAGAGGTAGTTGCGGTGCTGAATTCCTCTGGAGGCCTGACATTTGAAGTGAACCTTGGCGTTGATCAGGCTATCAGGGGTCACTTTTACCCAATCCTTATTTGTGTCGTCGCTGCTGATTTTGGAAACCCAGAA